TTGGATCACCTTGTATGTATCGAGAAATGTATTTGATATGTACCTAGACCCAAGTAGCAGTGATCGCGATAAATATCGATTCTATCGGTTGGGTATCGTGATTATATCGGTGGCAATATATCGAAATATTATCCCATCAAAAATCGCGATATATGGCGATTTAATCGCTACAAATGGCAATTTTTTGTTCGATACAATCGTGATAAATTTTTATCGATACAATCGAGATTAAATCGCCATTTATCGCGATTTTTATTTCGAAAATATCGCAATAAATTGTCGGGCGATGAAAACGCGATTTTATCGCGATAAGATCGAAGATAATCACTCAGATGTTGATGATCCATGGCGATTTTATCGCCGATAAAATCGCAATATATAGCGATTATTCCGTCGAGAAATGCTATACTTGGGGATATACTTAATTTGATATGTCTGCCTGGGTGTAAGTTTAGGTATATTCATATTCACTGTTAGGTGCATTTCAAGCAGTGCATTGTTCGTACACATTAATATATCAATGAATCTTGATGACTATTCTGTATTACCATTATGCAGAGAAAATAGATTCATCATTAATTTTCCCAGTATCCTACTCCTCGCGCTATTTCAGCAAGTTTATTGGAACTTTTGTCCACCTTTAATGGGTAGAGCTGTGACCAGGCGGTGCAGTGTGTAATGGGGTTCGTAATTTAACCCCTTTTAGGCCTTGTCTCCACGGGCCGTTTCACGAGATTTGTCCTAGGGAAAAATCCCACTTACAAAGTTGGGAAAAATATTGAGTTAATCAATATGTTTCCCAGTAGGTACTAAGTTAAGTATGGTCCTTTTACCCCTAGGACCCACTGAGAGAGGAAGAAGAATTGTAAACGAATTGTGCGATATTTTGTTGATTACTCCATTGACCTTGTTTGTTTCGTTAAAATAATGTGTCTAATTGTCAATTAAGTGCAATTATCATTTTAATCCTGGTTAAATACTCGACTTTAACTAAGTTATCGTCCCGCGCAAACTAGTCGCAGGACCGTATGAGCCTCGTTCCGTGGAAACGGTAACTGGGAAAAATCCCAGAAATTTCACTCCTGCGATTCAAACTTGGGTAGGGGTGTTCAAACGAATTCTTGCCGGAACTCTTTCGATATCGTCTCTTATTGAAACTGGCGGCAGTACCGACAGTGGCGATGATATCGACAACAGCCGGCCTTATCGGATTTTTGAGAGCTCGCACTCAATGCATTGTTGCCCCTTGTGTCGGTTTATCAGATTGCTTGGCGCGGCGGCGCATGAAATAGATGTACACATGGGCCATGTGACATGGCAACAGCTTATTTTCGCCAGCTCCGAAAACTCTAATCGCTATCGGCAAGATGAGCGCTCTTATCGTAACTTTTTCTTAACGGTAAAGTTACGGTAGCTTACCGACAACCGATAGAACAGCCCTAAACTTGGGACAAATCCCATGATAACGTCCCGTAGAGACAAGGCCTCTAACAAAAGCCAAAAGTGGCTACGTTATTCGATGTAATATCGAACCTCCGTTTAAGTGTAAACAAACGCAGAAACTTATTCCTAATTCGTGCCCTTGGCGCCATGGTAGTAAAATGCATTCAAGTGTTTCTCACAATCAAAATTTCTCGTGTTCAATGAGTCTTAATAGATTTATGACCGGTCAATAACTAAATTTTAATATATTCATACAATGAGTCAGTTAAGCTCGGGAGGGATTTGCCTGTAAATAGTCGGATCTTACAGTTTTCGGTACGAGAAGATAAACGATGCGCATGTTAAAATTTCACTAAAAATTGTCTCCTCGGAGATATAATGCTTCCTTTTTAGGGGTCCTCGAAAACGTGTTTGAACCGACCGCCGTGAATCTCCGCATCTCCGCGTCATAAACGGGAAGATGGCGGCGACGAAATTAACCTGCTTACTGCCGCCACGCCGCCGTTGTTGACATCACGATTTCTCGTTTGAGGTTAAGTAAGTTCTGTGTGAATGTTTCATATCCTACATACACCTGTATCGCATTCTGATTGAAAAGCTTAGAGAATTAAGAACAACGGATATGAATCTCAAACAAAGTAACCGACATAACCTCCAATTGACCAACAAAAACATACCGCCAACGCGTCGCCGCCGTGTATTCTTCCACTACGCATTCTGCCGCGCCATATTGATCGTGACGTGTACATGCGGAACCTACGAGCGCGCAGTTCAAACGCCGTTTTAGGCCACCCTAATTTTTGGCACTTTCGAATAAACTTTTCTCCCGTTTGCAGTCATCAAAAAAATTTAGGAAAAAAACTGTAAGCTTCGGTCACTTACTACTTTCGAATGACACAATAAAAAAAATGACTTAACTGACTCATTAACTCATGAAGAATTCGCATACGTCAGGCTATGTTAGTATATTTTGGTTTGAACCTAGAGTTAGATATTATATCGAATGACGTAGTCACTACATCAGTCTATTATGGCTTGGAACTTACAAAGACCCTCGATCCTAGATGAAGCCTTCCGGGTCATTCCATTGTAACGGGTGTGACAACAATTTAACTTTAAACACGAATTTGAATTCTTTCTTGGGGTTTAATTAAAAAATCATCTGCAGTAGCAGAGAGAACTTTTTTTAAAGATCATTTCAGTTTATCAGAAATTGTTTTTACTTTGTTCCATTCCTCAGAAAAAATTAAAAGGCATGCGTAACGGGTGTGACCGATTTTGGAAGTGAGTTTTTCCTCAGTGAGTGTAAAGTGGAAACTCAGCGAATTTTATGAATGTAAAAATCTGATTAAATTATATGATGAAGCCAAGGGTTTTTGCTTCAACTGCCGATGATCCGTTTTCGATTATCTGTTTTTCTTTCCCTGAAAAATGGGAAAGTTTGCGTAACGGGTGTGACGTAACGGGTGTGACAGATTGTCTGTCTGAGGTCCATCATTTCTGAGAGAGTTTATAAGTTAAAAAACTTACTTTTCTTCTCATACTCTTATTGTAGGCAATCCTAAGCAGTAAATCAATCAACAGTTTGCCGCATTTTAATGAAGAACATGCCAAAACTACATTTTTCTACAAGGTGGCCCAGACCTACCGTTTGCGTCACGGGTGTGACGTAACGGGTGTGACAAATTGTCTCTCTGAGGTCCATCATTTCTGAGACAGTTTAAAAGTTAAAAAACTTACTTTTCTTCTCATACTCTTATTGTAGGCAATCCTAAGCAGTAAATCAATCAGCAATATGACGCATTTTAATGTAGAACATGCCAAAACTACATTTTTCTACAGGGTGGCCCAGACCTACCGTCCCAGGGCTTTTCTTCGGGTAACCCAGGATTCGCCTTTCGTCCCCGCGGTCCTGGACCTCGCATGGCTCAAATTAACCAAATAAAAAACCCTGGCACGGTATGTCTGGGCCTATAATAAAGTGAAAATATTTCAATCAAATCGGAGAGAGTTCAACGAGTTCTATTTGAAGTCCTTTTGAGATAAGGTGTATTCACTTTAAATACTGAAATATGGCAAAAAAGTTGGCTATCTCTCTCTTATTAGATGTATACATAACCTCTAATTATGCATATGAGTGTATTTTTTGTGATAACCATAGAGAAAATGGTGAGAAGTGAGGCAACATCTGCATAATAGAAGCCTCTTCTCATTGGTCACACCCGTAACGTGTCACACCCGTTACGCATTTTTGCCCATCAATTGTTGAAATAAAAATTTGGAAAAAATATTCCAAAGCTGTACTTGACTTGAAGACGTACGGGAAAAATTGGCATCTCAAAATGACATGAATTAAAATAGTTACATTAAAAAACCCATGTTTTGCGTAACGGGTGTGACAGTTGGTACACTAAGTTTTAAAAGTTACATATAATATACAGTAATTACTTTTAAAAATTGAAACTTTGCAGAAGCACATTGAATCAGTTTCTTGACAACTATACAAGCATAACCTGAAACTTGGTTTTGGCGGTAACACCAGAAAACATTGCTATCAAACTGTCACTCTTTTTACAGTAGGATGAAGTTAAGCAACAGGGTTACAAAACACGTAAAAATTGCGAGAAAAAAACAAAACGGTGGTAAACCACATATATTTCCAAAAACTAGGAGTATTAAGGAGTCCAAAAATAAATATCGTTGGGTCATTTGGAGGGGGAAAAAAAAATACCCCCCGGACTACCTAGGCGTGGAATGACCCTTCCCAAAAAAGAATTCAACGGTTCAGGACCCCAATTTTTCATTAAAGTCTCTATTTCCATATGAAACTATGCTTAACACAAAAATTATAATGCTCTCCTTTGTTCAAGACGTACAAATTCCTTAAAAACCTTATAAATAGGGGCAAAAATCATTAACTTGGAATCTCCCCCAAGAAAGAGACGGTAGAGAACCCTGGTGGAAAAAACAGGAACTACACTTGAGATACATAGAAAATACGATTGTATACGAGTATTAAATACATGTATTTTATACGTATTAAAGTCTGTATTTGGATACAAGTATTTCATTGGTACTGTATAAATTACATATTAAATTCGTATTCAATACGGTATTACACGATACCGTACTTACTTACTTACCTGTTATATTAGTATTTTGGCTACTGGTGTCAGAATTTTGTAATAGAGATAGAACCCTCATGGCGATATGAATGTGAGTGGGAAAGAAAAATGAAATTAATTAGAGGATTCCAGAAAGAATCACTTTAAGACTTTAAGTACCTTCAGGAAAAGTGAGCAATGTATTTTTAGAGTAGTATTGAATTGAATAAGTCAATTCTGCCAACGATCCATCTTTTTTTTCTACAAATTTCTTCCATACCTACTGACGATATTTTCATTGCCACTTTTCCCACCTAAAAAATTATTTGATACATAGTTCATACCCATACGCCCCTTAAGGTAATTTTTCTAGGTGAAAGAGGTTCTTAATTTTGATACCACTAATGACTTTCAATGAATCAACAATAATTCTGGTATTTTTGTGTTTTGCAGGAACCGATTCCGCCTTTCGAATATCCTGATGCCCCTGTTCAACAGAGCCCAGCATATCAGCAATTAAGGACTCAGGAAGTGTATCCCTCTTGTACCAAGCGGGTACTGTTGACCTTTCAAACCGAAGTGTGGACCTCAGCTCTTTCACAATGTGCCAATGTTTTCTTAATTTTCAATCTTATGGAGATTAGAAGTTGAAAACATATACTAACCGTAGATAATCGATTGCGAATCAGTAAATCCAAAAAAATTAGGAGGTAACTGTGTCTCAGAGATACCGAGATAGTTATAAAATGCATTTTTAAAAACTGGATCATCGAAAGTATAGTCAAATGGAGGCGTTAAACGGCAGATTTATGATATCAAGAAAAATACGATCAAATACCTAAGCTGAATAATTACATAGTAACTGAATTTTGATGCAGATCTGTGGTGCAAAACATAGCCTCATACCTGAAAAGTTTTACTCTCAATAACGATACACTTAATTTTTTCAAATAATGCCATACTTAGGTAGGTAAGTCTTTTATTCATAGCCCTGAGCGAGCACCCCCCCCCCTCCCCCTTTAAGGAGAATTCATCCAAGACATTCTTATGAAAAATGCACCTACCTAACAATTAAAATTATTTTACTAGGTGCCCCCGGTAGATCCTGATTATTTTGTAACGCAGCAATGAAAACTCTGCTCTGAGGTATGAGGAAAAAGGAGGTACGGACTAGAGGCCTCAATGTTGTATCGTTCACCGCAAAGAGCATCAAAACATTTTGTTCGGCAGCATTGTAACGTTTAAGGAAAAAAAAAAAAAAAACTTGGGGAGTTCAAGGAGAACGCTCTTTAAGATTTCCAGCGCTGTTGCTAGTGCCAGTCGGAAGATAGACTCACTTTCAACGCTCAAAGCAATGAAAGTTATGGTTTGAGACTTTGATCCAATGTCTACAAGAGTAGGTATTTGGAAAAATTCACCATCGGAAACTGAAAGATTGATATTTTCAGCCAGACGGTGTTTTTTCGATACTTACACTAAATTTTCTAACTTCAGGCAAGTTATTTTCTGCGGCGTTAAAATGTGAAGAAATTCCTGGGTATTGTGGTTCGCAAAAGCATACCTATCATCATTCCTGTGCTACGTAAAAAGTGCATAGCGACGGTGAAACTAGACCACGTATCGCTCAGTTTGCAACGTTGCTATTATGTTTCATAAATGAATAAACTCATTTGCAATTACACCCTGTATTTATTCATACCTATTGAACCTTTTACAATATTGTAGAAAACACCATTCCCGGTGGCAGCTGATCACAAAAGTTAGGCCCTCTTCAGAAGAGGCACTTCTCCGCGCAAGCACAAATCTCCTTTCAGGTTTGGCATCACCAACCTGACTTCACTAAGTATAGTGCTAGAATTCACTATTACACCTACTCCTTTTTTCTTCCTCTTCTTCAAACAATATAAACTTACAAGTCGGCTCAACTTCTTAACTTCGTTACCTAATTCTTAAGATAATTATGAGGTTTTCTAAACTTTTGCTCTTCCATAATTATTCTGCCTCGCATTAAACCTGCACCCCACGAGCAATTGAACTGAAAAAAAAAGATTGCCAATTCACCGATCCAAGGTGTACCAAAATTAGCTGCTCTTCCTAAAGCATTTTTATCCGTGCACGGTGTTCGATCAACTGAACGATTCGCAAGAATCGCTACACCGATTTGCTACATCAGCTCATGTACCTACGTTTACTTAATCTTGCATCGAGTGACTTGGAAGTGTAACTGCATTTTTTGGTAAACGTGCATGCTTTATGAACAGTAATCTTAGCTCAATGACGAGGCTGAAATAGCAAATTCATCGAAGATTTCATTAAATTTCCCTAGGATTTTCAATGACTTTTCTAATTGGTTATAATGAAAGGACCAATGAGGAAGCAAATCGACACAAACTTGTACAAAAAATGAACTTTTGGGCGTATTCTTCGACATTCCGTTCGCGATAATTAAGCAATGAAAAGAGCTGTTTTGGAGAGACAGAAAGATCGAGGTACAAGTCACTTCACTTCGAGTCACAGGAGCGAGATCGTAACGATAAGAAACTTGAGCGACAACTGATCACAGTGGGTCAGCACTACAACTTCGAGGGTCGTGGATCGTCACTCGTCTTTTCTAACTTTCAAAGATTCCCCATAGCTGAAATTTCCCCTAACGCGGGATTTGCCAATGAGATTACGGCTGCATAGACACCGACCGGTGCCGGCACCTTGCCGCCGCGCGTCGCGCCGGGTTTCCCTGGAGCCTGGACCGACCGGCCGGCCCCAAACGGTCAAAGCGCGGGCATCACGTGAACGCAGCGCGACGATCCGCGCGGTGGATCGCTCGAACGCCCTCTCCGCATGTTTGTGGGTGAACGGTTAGATATAGGTACGCCAAAACGGACGAAATTTTGGTCCTCCGGACCGTAAGTCGGCAAAATCTATAAGGATAGACTAGTCACACTTACTTTTACGACATTACTGTAGATGGGCCATTCTGAATGGCGCTACCTTCTATTTATCGGGTGAAAACAGGCCAATTGTGCTTTACTCGTGCACGATACGTCAAAAGTTTCGCACAACAGGGCAACAATTTGACAAAATCTGTAAGGAAACATGTGTTTGAACCTTTAATACAATATATTAAAAATTTAGGCCTTTTAGGCCTTCATGCGATACTAGGGGGTCAATTATGCGGCGAAATTTTGGGTACTTCATATAAGGCCCATTCGACAACTTTTTTCGAAGATACCTACGCGTTTCTCCTCTCTAAGTCGAAAAATTCGGTCCACCCTTATGTTTATCCTTCATTCAAATGTAAGTACTTGAAAAAAAGTCTATTTTCTTTAGATTATTTTCTATAAATATATATCATATATACTATACTTTACTATACTATATACAAATATAGTTTTTACAGCTTTTATCCAAATTTGTGTGCCAGTGTTCATAAACATAGATATAAATTCTTCTAAATATATATCTATATTTTCTATAGGTAGAAATAGACTATTTTCAGTAGATTTAAAGGGTGGAAAAACAGTGTTGCCAACATGCAAAACTTGCATTGAGTTCGGCCGTGCTGAGGAAAAATGCCTTATAAATATTCAGACGCGCATTCAACTTCCTGTTGTGGACCATCATGCATTTTTTCAGAAAGCTTAGAGTATTTTCCTTCGAAATTTTCAGATATTGTAAACTAACTTAGGAATTAATTTTCTTGAAAAATCGGAAGTATAATTTCCACAAGCCTCCATGAAAATTCGTATTTTATCAAAAGCAATCTGGCAACGCCTGAATGTTCATAGGGCGTTTTTCCTCTACAAGGCAGTATTGTCGGACTCAATCTCATTTCGAAGATAACTAAGAAAAATACACATACAAGAGGACGAAATTTTTTAATAGGGTTTTCCCCCTTTTTTAAGTTTTATTTGTGTGCTGCATGGAACATAATTCACAAGCTTGTAACAGTCTTTTTTTCGCGTGGAGCTTTTTCCAATCCTATGTTCAATAAAGAAACGTGAGCGGTGACTGGTGACGTGGACATTTGAGCATCGATGAAAACTCCGCTCGGCGCTCGAATCTCGGATGTCTGGTTCAGCTTGTTAGCTATTAAGTCAGTCGTGAGCTCGTGCAGCTCTGGTTGAAGACTGCTTGACAACCGTGTACTGTTAACTCCTATTGTTGTTTTCTTTCGTTATATTCCGCATTCCTGCAGCCCGCTCTTCTTTGGCTAAATTCGATTTCGGACTGGACGACTGCATATCACGTCACGCCTTTCGAATAGGTACTTGAGTTCCTGTGACAAAACATAATATTAAATTAAATGAATGAATAAGATGACAATAAAGTCACCTCTCGGTTTCACCCTCTCCTACAAGATACGCTAAAAATTAGCTTTTTAACCCCCCTCCCTTCTTTGCGGGCAGATTATTGAAATTCATAAACAAAGAAGACAAAAGGGAGTCACGTTACCTACCTCGGATAATATTAATCTTGGAAGTCAGCGATCTTGCAGTGCGTCAATGCCCTTCCCTAGTAGCAATGGCTCTTAAAAAAGTTCTACAAAAAAGTGTAAAAAACTTGTAAATAAGAGTTTGTAAATTTTAAGTAAAAAAACTCTTAAAATACTCGTTTTAGAAAACCCTTTAGGGGAATTCTTTTAAATAAAATCAAGTATTATTTTCATTAAAAGAAAACGTAAAATTTACGTTAAAATCGATAAACTATATCCTCAATTTTTACGGACTGCAACTGTTTCTTTCATACTTTTCTGCTCACCACTTTTTTTCCTTTTAAAAATTTTTACTTAAAATTATACCGAAATTAATACCTAAATTTTACTTAAAATTTACGTAAAAAATTTACTCAAAATTTTTCTTCAAATTACTGTAAAAAAGCATCAAAAAGGGTCTCCTAATACGGATATTTCAAGAGTTTTTTTTACGTAATTTTCAAGTGGTTTTGAAGTATATCTTAAGAGATCTCTTAAAATTTACGAGTTTTTTACAACTTTTCTCAACAGCCACTGCTACTAGGGTCCCTGATGTAAAGGCTTTCTACTCAAGAAGTAGGTACATACTAGTTCAGGCAAATAAGTAAAAGAGCCTGCAAAAATCCCGGGTAGTAATGCTTTCATTGATTCCTACGTAATTTTTCACGCTGAATCCGAAGTTTAACTTTGCACCAAAATATTCGGACTGGAAAGTTGCCATCGGCGAAAATGGCCTTAAATCGGCCTTTTTCCGGATAATAGCTTGTAACTCGTCCAAAATTGATCCGATGACAATATTTAGTTGTCCTAAAAATAAAGCTTGTTAAATTTCCTATGAAGAAGTTCCTATGCATTTTTTTGCTCAAGGCGAAATTAAGCACGCTGGCGGGCACCGAACTTTGAAAAATGAGTGAAAATCGCGTTTTTTGCCGTTTTTTCAAAAATCCCGGGTAGTAATGTTTTCATTGATTCTTACGTAATTTTTCACGCTGAATCCGAATTTCAACTTTGCACCAAAAAATTCCGACCGGAAAGTTGCCAAATTTGGCAATAATGGCCTAAAATCGGCCTTTTTTCCCGGATTATGCCTGTAACTAGCCTAAAATTGATCCGACAATTAAATTAGTTATTTTCAAAAATAAAGTTCGTTAAATTTCCTATAAAAAAGTTCCCATACTTTATTTTGCTCAGGACAAAATCTAGCGCACTGGCAGGCACAGAGCTTTGAAAATTGAGTGAACATTGCGTTTTTCGCGTTTTTGCCCCTTGTCTCCTTTTTCAATCGTCTGACGAGTAATTTCTAGACAAATTAAGCGAAAATGATAAAATTTACACCAAGTGAAATGAATTGATGTAAATTTCAAGGGACCCAACACAAGTGGGCGCAATTTTCGCTCATTTTTCAAAGTTCGGAGCCCGCCAGCGCGCTTGATTTTGCCTTGATCAAAAAAAGTATAGGAACATTTTTATAGGAAATTTAACGAGCTTTATTTTTAAAACTAATACATTTTATCGTCAGATCAATTTTTTGCAAGTTACAGACCATAATCCGGGAAAAGGCCCATTTTAGGCCATTTTTGACAAATTTGGCAGTTATTTTGGTGCTAAGTTAAAATTCGGAATCAGCGCCAAAAATTATATAGAAATCAATGAAAACATTGCTACCCGGGATTTTTACCTGGCCTATTTGCCTGTACTATACCTAATGTTCCTCGCCTTCACGCGAAAAGAGCCTATCAAATATAATACCTAAATGCGACGATTTGAAGTTTATACAGTTCGATAAAAGTTTTTTGGTCAGCTTGAGATTGCCGGCTGTTCAATTGATATAACGCAACTGTAGGTAGGCCCTCCAAGGGCGCAAAAACAAGCTAGACAGCTCGCTTCTATACTATAAGCTCCGAGACCTCCGAATTTTGCGTAACTGGTAACGCTTAGTTCCAGCGTTCTACCGGGTCAATTTCCATGATTTTAGCGGCTATCGACGGGCAATTGTATCTAGATAAGCCGGCTCTGTTAAGATTTTCAAAATATGCTCCAGGTTTTTTTATACAGGGTGTCCCAAAAGTCCGTACCCCCCCTCGTAACTTTTGAACGGTTAGAGGTAGAAAAACGAAACTTTGGGAATGTTTCTATCTTAAAGTGAACCATCTTCTGGGGGGGTCAAAATTTTTGTTCCCCTCAGGGGGGCGCGGGGGCCCCCAACTTTTTTTTTCAAATGGTAACCCCTATCTTATGATACATCATTAGAAAGAACATAAAAAACTAAGACTTTTGGCGCAAACCGCAAATCAATACCTTGATTTTTAACCGAGTTATGATAGGTCAAAGGTCGAATTCGACCTATTTACAAAAAATCATATCTCCGGCTCAAATTATCGAAAAGAAAAAAGCAAAACGGGAAACTTTACCAAATTGTGAGCACTTTTAAGTAAAAATCCCAGAAATTACTTCAAACTAATTTTATGGGGGGGTTTCCGACCCCCAAATACGTCATTTTAAAGGTCACACGATATTCTCGCGAATTGAGCCAATTTCCCCTTACTTTTCCTCAACATAATCGTAGTAAGTTCAAAATTAGTTCAACATTGTGTTTTCAAGTCCCCAAATTTCGGGCAAAGTTCAAAAAACGAAACTATTAAAAAACGTTTTCGGTCAAGTTTCAGAATTTTCAAAATATATTTGCGCGTCTTGCACGACAAAATGTTTGATTTATATCAAAATTAGTGTGTTAGGAAGCTATCATCTCAAATTTCCGGGGTTCTAGCGTGACTGCTTCGACCCTAAAAAAAATCATCAAATCGTCAAAAATCTAACAATTATGTTTTTTTTATCAATTTTACAATTGTGCGATGCGGCAGCAGTTTTACAATTTACAACATTTTACAATTTACGTATTTCTGGCAACATTGCGATGGTCATGAATGAACTTGGCGTATCAAAATCATGGGGATACGTTAGTTTCAAGACGTGAAGTTTAAATAAAACGGCGCTAGCCCGTTTTTTAGGTGAAAAAACGTGATTTTTTCGTAAAATTTGAAACTTGAAGCGGACCGTGCCAACGGTAGGAGTTATCTGAAAAAGAAAAAACCGGCGCTCCGCTTCGCTTCGCGCCGGTTTTTTTTTT